AATGAATTATTAAGAGTATGAGAAGGCTGGAAAGAAGGGCAAGTGATAGCCGATGACTTGAAGCTGCTGGCATCTGACGTTCGCTGAATCTTTAAGGATAAAGATAGAGTGAAAGAGGCAGGAAAGCATCGACAGGATTTCAGCATAATAACTAGTCAGTGGAAAATCGTAAGAACCAAATTTAATGAGGGTGACATATATGGAAAGGTATTGGAAGGTGTGCTGAGCTGTATGAGAGAGAGGGAGAAGGCGCCAGCAGTGTCTCTCAGTAACTCATGCTTCACCATGACATACAAACCTGTAAGCTCATGGCACTATAAAATATTGTATAATTATACTATTACTATCAATAACGGTTATCTTCCTATCATATTTATTCCAGAATAATAATAGGTATGACATAAATAACGTAGAAGCGTGATAAAGATGCCCAAATTAATAAAAACTGACATTATATAGAGAGGTATTGAAGGGTGGAGGGCAGGGAGGGATTAAAAAAAAAAATAGTGACTGCAACCATTACAGAAAATGTTATGTGTCTGATGGGTAACTATAGATCACTTTTACCCTTTGTAAAAACTGAAAAAAATTGTGATTTTCTTGAAAATTTTTTTTCGAAGTAATCAGCTATGCACGCGTTTCCTGGAATATCTCAGAAGTAAGTCATTGACCTATTTCATGTTGTATTACTGAATGTTTTAATTTTGGGTGGTGACACTTTTGAAGTGTCAGTAAGGGGTGATTCCTTGATTAGTGACGAATTTGTTTACCGACGGGGTCTTAGGCCCCTAACCCCCCTAAACCCATCGTTAAGTGAGGAAAGGCTGTATTTTGTAATATGTAAATCACTTATTGTAAACTTTGCAAAGAAATAAAACTTGAATTTGAATTTGAATCCTTATGTATGGTGGATGGGGTTTCCATGTTTTCCATGTTGCTTTGGCTGTTGGTAAGAGCCAGACTTACTGCTGCCACTAAGGAAGGAAGGGGGGTCTCTCTGAGGGTCATTGGCTTGCTAGAAAAAATTATGTGATTGGTGTGCTGTGTTCCAGAGTGCAGTTCGAGCAGCTATTGAAGGACGTGTGCTAATCCTTGAAGGCATTGAGAAAGCAGAGAGAAATGTGTTACCAGTTCTCAACAACCTCTTGGAAAATCGAGAGATGCAACTTGAGGATGGGCGACTATTAATATCTAGCAGCAGATATGACAACCTTCTAAAGGTACATTCTACAATACCAGAATTATAGGGAGAAACTTGTGTACTGTATCTAAAGTACTGTATTAATGCACAACCTTCACATAGGAAAAGGAGCTTTTGATGAAGTTTCAGTCAGACTTGGACCATTTACAAAGTCACGACTTTGTAAATGGTCGAAGCCGGACTAAAACGTCATCATAAGCTCCTTTGCCTATGTGCCAGTTATTTGTGTATTGTTCTGGTCACAGTATTATACCTTTATTGCTGTTTCTGTATTAATATCTCTGATGTCTGGTACTCTCTGGTCTGTAACACACATTACTAGATATCTGTTTTAAAGCACGGCCATCTCATCAGTATCATTCCTTGTATGCTTTCATGTGATCTCAGACATGTATTTTTCTACTTTACAGTGCATGTGTATAAAATCTTAATATTCTTTTTTTTTTTTTTTTGCAGGAACATTCACAAGCAGAATTGGACAAAATGCATTTAGTACGGGTTAGCCAAGATTTTCGAGTTATTGCTCTAGGACTTTCCCTTTACCCCCCTACCAAGGTCACCGCTTATTTCCCCCCTTAAGGTCTAGATTTCAAGCTAGGAAATAAACCAACCCCCACCCTTTAAAGGGAAATAATAATTTATTTTAAAAAATTTTTTTTTTTTATTTATTTTTTTTTTTTTTTTTTTTTTTTGATTTGACATTTTGTTTTAAATGAGGGCAAGATAAAATTATTAAGTGTTTGGGAAAAAAGTTTAAAATGCTGAAGGGGAGTGGTATACCTGTAATGCTTTCAAAAGTTTTTTTTTACCCCCAAAGGCTTTTGCATGGGGTTAGATGTTTTTATGTTGATTGCCTTTTTCAACAGGCTGTTTTATTGGATGCCTGCTTGCCCCACAAAATCCCCTCATAGATTTTGGTTTATCTGGGGGCTTGATTAGTTTGTGATCCAATTTCCTCTTTAAACCCTTTTGCGTGGAACCCCCGGTTTCGGCCGCTCCCTTTATCGGCCAAATCGTGATCAGCCGTTTTTTTTAGCTCCCCGTGATCGGCCGTTTTGGACTGGGGCCTCTGCCCGGGTTGGGGGTTTTCCCTTTCACACACTTTTTCTGGGGTTTTCTCGGGGCGTGAGGAAAACTTCCCGCTGTTCCCTCGGTGCGTGGGAAGCTTCTGCTGTTCTCTCGGTGCGTAGGAAGCTTTTGCCCGTGTCCCCTCGGTGCGTGGGAAACTTCTGCTGTGTTCTCTCGGTTTCGTGGGGGGGAAGCTTTTTTGGCTGTGTTTTTCATTTGCGTGGGGGAAGCTTCCCGCTGTGTCTCTCGGTGCGGTTTAGGAAGCTTCGGGTGTGTCCACTCGGGGGCGGAAAGGGAAACTTTTGCCCCTTTCATTTCTTTGTTTTCCCCTGTTTTTTTTTGGTTTTTTTTTCAGTTGGGAAAATGGGGAAATTTAAATAAAACCCTGGGGTTTCCCAAATTTAAAATTCCTTTGTAAAGTTTCTGTTGGGAGAGAAAAAGAGGGAAAAACCATGTTATTTTGTGTAGCCCGGCATGAGGGAGTGTAGCAGCATGCCGGGGGGTAGCGGCATGGGGGGGAGTGGCAGACATGCAGGGAGTGTAGCAGCATGCAGGGAGTGTAGCCGGCATCAGGGATTTAAACAATCAATTCAGGGAGTGTAAAAAGGTAAAGCAGGGGAGGGGTCCGGCCCCCGGGGGGGTGTAGGGGGCAAAGCCGGGAAAATGTTGCCCGGGCAAATTTCAAAAGGGAGGGGTAGGGGGACAATGCAGGGAGTGTTTGCAGACATGCAGGGGGTGTAGCAGGCATTCAGGGGGGGGTAGCAAAACATGCAGGGGGTGTAGCAGGCATGCAGGGAGTGTAGCAGCATGCGGGGGTGTAGCAGGCATGCAAAGGGGTGTCGCAGGCATGCAGGGAAATTTTTAGCAGACATGCAGGGGGGAAACAGGGATGCAGGGAGTGAGGGAGGGTTTCAGGGATGTAGCGACATGCGGGAGTGTAGCAGGCAACGCAGGGAGTGTAGCGACATGCAGGGAGTGAGCAAATGCAGGGAGGGGTAAACAGGCATGCAGGGGGTGTAGCAGGCATGCAGGGAGTGTTGCAGACATGCAGGGGGGTGGGGAGCAGACATGCAGGGGAGTGTAGCAGACATGCAGGGAGTGGGAGCAGGCAAAGCAGGGTGGGAAAACAGGCATGCAGGGAGTGTAGCAGGAAAGCAGGGGTGTTGCCCGGAAAGCAGGGGGGGGTTGCAGACATGCAGGGAGTGTAGCAGGGATGCTGGGGGTGGGGGGAAAAACAGCATGGGAAGGGGGGTGAAACAGGGATGCAGGGGTGTAGCAGACATCAGGGAGTGTAGCCCGACATGCAGGGAGTGTAGCAGAAAAAGCAGGGGTGTAGCAGGCCCTGCAGGGGGGTTTTAGCCCATGCAGGGAGTTTTAGCAGGCATGCAGGGAGGAGCAGGATGCAGGAGTTGGGAAAAAGACATGCAGGGAGTGGGAGCAGGCTTGCAGGGAAATGTAGCAGACAGCGGGGGTTGCCAAAGGGATGCAGGGAGTGTAGCAGGCAAGCCGGGAGTGTAGCGGGATGCAGGGAGTGTAACAGGCAGCAAAGGGGGTGTGAGGCATGCAGGGAGTGTTTGCAGCCCCAGGGAGTGTAGCAGGCCAGGGGGTGTAGCAGGCATGCAGGGGTGTAACCCGGATTTCAGGGAGGTTTGCAGGCATGCAGGGGGTGTAGCAGGCATGCAGGGGGTTTTTTGCAGGGAAAGCAGGGAGTGTAGCGGCATGCAGGGAGTGGGAGCAGGCATGCCGGGGGTGTAGCAGGATGCAGGGGGGGTAGCAGGCATGCTGGGAGTTAGCAGGCATCCAGGGAAATGTGCAGATATGCAGGGAGTGTAGCAGACGCAGGGGGGTGTAGCATCATGCAGGGAGTGTAGCAGGCATGCAGGGGGTGTAAACAGGGATGCAAGGGGGTGTAGGCAGGGATGCGGGATGTAGCAAAGGGTGCGGGGGGTTTTGCGGCATGCGGGGGGTGTAGCAGGCAACCCGGGGGTGTACAGATTTTGCAGGGAGTGTAGCAGACATGCCGGGAATTTTAGGGAGGGATTCTGGGGGTGTGCAGGCATCCGGGAGTGTTTGCAGACGCAGGAATGGGAGCGGGCATGCGGAAGGAGCAGACCTTTCCGGGGGGTTAGCCGGCCACCCAAAAGTGTAGCAGGCATGCAGGGAGTTTTTGCCCGACATGCAGGGGGAAACAGACAATTTCAGGAAGTGTAGCAGGCATGATTGGGAGTTTACAGAAATGCAGGAAGAAAAGGGAACACGCAAAGGGTTGTAGGGAGGCATCCGAGATTTTAAAAAAGGCCTACAGGGAGTTTTAACGGGATTTCAGGGAAATGTAACAGGCACAGGAAGTGTAACAGGCATGCAGGAGTTTTAAATAGAAATACGGAAAATGTAGCAGAAAAAGCAGGGAGTGTAGCAGGGATGCCCGGGAGTGTAACCCGGCATGCAGGGAAATTTAGCAGGGCATGCAGGGGGTTTAAAAAACATACAGGGGGGTGGGAAAAAGACATGCATGGGAAATGTAGCAGGCCCTGCAGGGAGTGTAGCAAGGGCCCCGGGAGGGGGTTTTAGCAGGCACGCAGGGAGTGGGGAACAGGGATTCAGGGGGTGTTAAACAGGGATGCAGGGAGTGTAACAGGGAGCAGGGAGTGTTTGCAGGCATGCAGGGAGTGTAAAAAGGCACCGGCCCCGGAGTGTAGCAGGCCCCTGCCCGGGGGGTGTAAAAAGGATGGGAGGGAGTTTTAGCAGGGGATGCAGGGAGTGTAACAGGATGCAGGGGGTGGGACAGGGGAAAGCAAGGGGTGTAGCAGGCAGCCGGGAGTGTAATTGGCCCTGCAGGGGTTAGAAAGGGACGCCCGGGAGTGTAACAGGCATGCAGGGAGGAAAACCGGCTGCAGGGGGTGTAACAGGCATGCAAAAAGTGGGAGGGAACATGCAGGGGAATGAACAGGCATGCAGGAAATTAACAGGGATGCAGGGGTGGGAGCAGACATGCAGGGAGGGGGAAAGACATGCGGGAGTGTAGCAGGCATGCAGGGAGGTGAAAACCCCGGGGGATTCAGGGGTTAACAGGCTGCCGGAAAGTGTTTTAAAAGGGATGAGGGAGTGGGAGCAGGCCCTGCAGGGGGTTTTAGCAGGCATGCCCGGGGTGTTGCAGACAAGCAGGGAGGGTAGCAGACATGCGGAAGTTTTGCAGGCATGCAGGGAGTTTAGCAAAGGGTTCAGGGGGGTTTTACAGGCATGCAGGGAGTGTAGCAGACATGCAGGGAGGTAGCAAGGGAAAGCAGGGAGTTGTAGCAGGCATGCCCGGGGGTGTAGCCAAAAGGGAGGGAAATGTACCAAGGGATGCAGGGGGTGTAGCAGGCTTGGGAGGGAGTGTCCCGGCATTTTCAGGGATTTTAGCAGACATGCAGGGGTGTAGCAGGCCCTGCAGGGGTTTTACAAAACATCAGGGGGGGTGTAGCAGGCAACAGGGGGTGTAGCAGACATGCAGGGAGTGTAGCAGGCATGCAGGGAGTGTAGCAGACATGCAGGGAGTGTAGCAGGCATGCAGGGAGTGTAGCAGGCATGCAGGGAGTGTAGCAGGCATGCAGGGAGTGTAGCAGGCATACAGGGAGTGTAGCAGGCATGCAGGGAGTGCAGCAGACATGCAGGAAGTGCAGCAGGCATTCCAGAAGCCAGCATTAGTCTTCAGTAAAGGTGTGTAATACTAATTTAATTGTTAAAAAATCATTTTTTGTGAATGTTTTTGTGTGGAATGGTTTAATTGTATTTACATTAATTATTCTGGGAAATATCATTTCGGTTTTTGGCCATTTCGGTTTTAGCCCGAGCTTCTGGAACGGATTACGGTCGATAACCGAGGTCCACTGTATAGTATTTCTGATATCTGCTGGTAGCAGGTCATATTGTCTTGGATCGTAGATGTTGGCACAGTATTGTGTTGTGTCCTTGGCACTCTTGCTTTTCAGTGGGTCTGTTTTACTTTCATATCTCTTATTCCAGTATGTTGTTATGGTAGTACATAAATTTGGGACCAGGCCCTCGGGTATCTTTTATATGCTTGTATTGACTATGGGCAGAAGTTTTGATAGTGTCTTCAACATTTTCTGAGTTATGCAAAGGTCACCCATTGTTTGGATCCATCTTGTGTTGAAAGGGAGATTGTTAACATCCAAAATGCTTGGATGGGTTAAAAGTTCCTAGTACTACATCCAGACTTCAGGTATATCTGTGTTGCTCCTTAAAGCTGGATAATTTTGATAGGTATGTGGATCCTGGAAAACAGAGAGACAAAAAATTTTCTATAAAATTGATAGAATTATAAGTAATACATAAGTGATTAAACTCCATATTAGAAATTTATGAGAAATTGTATATACGTATATTATGTGAATCTGTGAGTCTTTATTTTGAGACTCTAACTTTTTTATTCTTCATGCAAAGTGTTGTACAAACAAGGCATGATCCAATAGCCCCTTTAATCTGAAATACTGTTATCCCAGGCTTCG